AATACACCTCGTCTCCTCTTGGATTCATTTATCCAGTAAATGATGTGACATTTAATATTTGACCTTACATATATTTTCGATTTATGTTGAATTACAATTTCAGTAATTCCTGTTCTTGTGTTTGAATTTTTTGGATAAAATCCACAATTTGTTTGACCAAATTTAACTACATGGTTAAAATCAATAGGGACTGACTCACCTTGGACCTTAACGCTACAGTGAGATAATGCGCTATTATGTAGATTAGTGATGGCTCGATACTCTTTCATGTCCAACACTGTTATTGATACTGCAACTTGGAGTTTTTGGCAATACCGATATCAATCCGATACCTTCTTTTCTCCTCCACCATGCTGCAGACTGCCGTTGTTGAAGCAAAGGTGACCCTTTATGGCAAGTCCTGCAAAATTAAGTTGAGCTTTTGGGCTTAGACTTTGGATCGGACGGTAGTTGTTTTGTTTTTTTTTCGATGTTGGAACCTAAAATTTTGACCAATATCACATCGGATCAAGCCATCCCTAATATACAGTACAACACGGTCCAGTCCTGACAACCACTCAGAAAGCTTCAAAATAAAGATTCTGACTTTTATTTTCAAGTGTCAAAAATAAAGACCAAAAAAATATGGAATCGACCCAACAACCTTTTCTAAATGAAAGACAACTGATCCACTGTATCAACTAAACCACAGATACACAGTAACTCTACCAGACTAGTGTCTCACCATAACCCATCATATAAATGAGGTAGGCTACATTACCAAACTTACTGTTAGATGGGTAAATAATTACTACAAACTACGGTCGGCCGACCGATATTAGCATAATTGTTTAATATCTGTAAAAATAACTTAACCTTAACGGTTGTTCCTCTGCTAATAAAAACCCGATAACGCAATGCCTGGATTTCACCAAATATTGTGTGCTCTAAAAATAGTTTGATGCCCCGGCGACAGACCATTCATACGCCTCAGTGCTCTGAAGAACTTTTATTGAAACACAATCGCTCTAAACCTACCTTCTCCAAAAACTCATGCAGTGGTTTGCACAGATAAATAAATAGATATTACTAGTTGCTCAATCTTATTTAAATGCTGCCCCCTAGAGGGGCATGGCTGAAAATAATTGAGAAACACTGCTTTTACCCATCACCTTAGTGAGAAGGCAGCACTTAAATACCTTTACCACCAGGCCACTACTGCCCCACTATATCGATATCGGAAATTGTGGAAGTGTTTGGACAATATTGGCATAATAAGTTAATATCGGACATCCCTAGTTACTAACTAAAAGATACTCAGATTTGTAGAATCTGTTAATTTATTTTAAACGTTTTAGTTTTTATCTTCTAATGTTTATGAAAAACACTGGCATAAAAACCAGAGGTCGTTTGAGCTATTCATCAAGACAAATTGAAACAACTCCAATACATCACACTTATTTATTTATCCACTCACTACGGGCCTTATTATAAAAGCAATTATTTCACTGCTGTGCTCCACATATTCTTAGCTGCTGACTTTGAAAATAATAAAAATTGTGGTCACGGGTTACCGTTGGGGTTATCGATCTGTTCCAAAACATTACGGAGAGGAACAGGGAGTAAAAGAATAAAGGGAAGGAAAACTAACTCTGAGTTAGTCTAAGCAAGTGAGGACCAGAAAAGTGGGATCGTATTTACATAGCAACATAGCGACGCAATATCATAGTCTTAGTCCCTAAAGCAGACTGCAGTCCTGTATGTACTTTCTTTATTCCATAGTGGAGTTCGTCAGTGCTGCATATAAGCATCAGATCAACTGCTGAGGCTAAGTCCAAGCTAAGGCTAAGCAACATTCAGGATTATATAAAATTTCAGCTGTGACAGGTACAGAATGATCTCAGAGCATTTTAAACATGGAGAGAAAAAGCAATGAATGGCAGGGGATTAACATAATAAAAAGCAGTAAACACCAACTTGTGAAGTGAACGTGTGTACAGCATCCTTTGGCTCGGGCATGTGAAAATACTGTACGTTTATAAACACGAGAAGGTTCCTCGTTAATTTAACTGACCTTCAAATGATCCTTGATCCTGTTTCTTTGCGATTATTCAACGTTACTGAGTAAAAAATTAAATAGTGGGATAACAATATTATTTGAAAGAAAATTGCGTGGGTCTGCTATTTTTAATGTCGCCAGAGAACGTTGACTAAGAGACGGACTCTAGCCTGTCATTGGATGATAGGTGTTTCCGGACAACAAATGGCGGTTGATGTCAAATGACGCAGTAATTTAAAGTAACTAAGTAACTTTTACTCAAAGTCAATTTTAAATTTAGCATTTTTTTTACTTTTACTTGAGTAAAATGTAAGCAAAGTAAAGATACATTTACTTAATTTGCATTTTTAACTACTTCCACCTCTGACATCAGTAAACAATTCTGTCTGTGTGATCACTTCTAGTGTTGACCAACTCATTCAACAGAGCTGTCAAAGCCATAGGTACCATCAGGAATGGACTATTTTGTGTCCATATCAATAACTGGACCTTCTTTTTAACAATGCATTCAACACAAAGAAAAAAAAAAAGAAAACACGTGTCCAGTTGACAGCACTCCAGAGTTAAAGAAAACTGTTTAGGGAGCACAGGTTTGAGTCTCAAGGCCTCAGGATTTATTTACAACTCCATTTGCGTTGAAGTGAGTCAAGGGTCCTCGGAGGGAGGCGCCACCGCAAGGAGTCTCAAACCCATCTTGACGGAGCCCTCAATAAAGGGATGAGGAGGGGAGAGACGGAGCGGGTGACATTGTCTCTGTCTGAACGCTCACCTCTCCTTCTAATTGCCTCAAGTCCTATTGATTACTGCGGGCCCTCGCACCTCGCTGTGTGACCCCTTCGCACCAAGTGTAATCCCTCTGGGAGCTTACAGACCCACTGGCCGCCTGTTTTCTGATGTGATAAGCTGCATCAAGAACAAAGTGCACTCACATACGTGTGTGTGTGTTCCTCTACGTGCAGGTGTACTTTGTGAGTGTGACCGCTCGTGATGTGGATGCATTAGAAGGAAAAGATGAACCCACCAAAGTGTGGACCAAAGTGTTTGAGCGTCAACTGGGCGGATGCTATGTCAACATAAATCAACGCAACTAAAGACGATAATAGATAATAGATTAAAGTCAATGTTGTACATTGGTATTTTTCGATATTATTTCCAACCATCAATTTGTCGCTTTGTCTCAAATTCTGTCTTTTTTCTGTTAGCAAGGAGAAACAGTAGGCGAGGCGGCTACGAGCTTAGCCTAGCCTCCGACTTCACTCACTCAATTGCTGCATTTCCAGTTCTGTCCTTCTGTATCAAAGATATACATCAGAGATGACTGTACCATACATACCATACACCCCAACCTACAGTGCCTCCTATATATTTAATTAACAATGAAAAGTTGAGTCAGAAGAGTGCTGCACAACAGGTGGCAGTCTTGAGCCGAACCTTTATGTGTTCAATATTGGCCAAGAAGTCACAAAACTGACGTGCATTATGGGAGATGTAGTTTGTAGTGAACACATGCTTGATAAGAATCAGAAATTAAGAATCGTTGGTTTTTCACCATACATTTTCCACGCACAGAATTTGACCACGGCATGTAACCCATTCAATAAACATTAGTATAAACCAGGCATGGACAAACTATGGCTTGGAGGCCAGATGCAGCCCATTTGACTTTCTAATCCGGCCAACCATACTTGTCCAAAATGTTATTAATTTATATTATCATCATACTTCTGCCTTTCTTCTGCAATGCTTGCATTTACCCAATAGATGGCGTTGGAAAAGCTAAAAGCATTTTAGCATTTTAGCCTTTACGCAAGACTTTTACATGTCATTTATCTTAGTTCACATTAACGCTCCCCATCTGGGCTAGACTGTACTACAGACTTTTATTTTAAGACAATTGTACCCATCTTTAGCTCATGTGGGGCACATTAAATGATGTAATGGCAAGGATTTGGCCCGCATGTTTTTTAAATGTCAGTAGTAAAACAATGAAAAGAACTAAATTTGAGCTTCTTAGAAAGCCTTCAATTTAAAATTGAATTTCGTTACCACTGTGTTGTATGTATAATAGTTAGTCTCTTTTGCCATTTGGTTAAAATAAAATTACATTAATTGATTGGTAAATCTCTGAAGGAGTCAGCGCCTAACTTGCGAAAATGCCAGTGAACACAACACAACCCCATTTGCAGAACCCTTATTTACAATAAGCCCAAATCCTATAGCGAGAGCAGCAGTGGCAAACACAGCCATTTAGATTAACAGATTCAAGCGGTGTGTTGATCCTGAATGCCCATCAAGTCCTGAAGGTGTTTTCAAGCAGACACCTTCCTGTCACAACAAACTGCCACCTCCTCACCCGCCCCTCTCTAAATCTTGCAGTCCTTGAGGGAAATTAAGACTTCCATTTCCAGGCAATTAAAGGCTCTCCTTCCCGTCTGGCCTACATTTAGTCTGTGTCTGCATGTGATAAGATGAGATGGTAGATCCCACGCGGATATTTAGAGTGAAGAGGAGCAAAAACGAGGAGAAGTGACTGGATCTAATCCCCCCCTTCATCTCTCCTATGATTGGTGGGACGCAGGACCGTGACGAAGTGGGCTGCCAATTAACCAGGCTGCCACAGTTGGCAGCACCTCTGTGCAGTATCTTTTCTTCGATCTCCAATTTTTTTTCTTATTTATTACTTTAACCCTTCCATTGTCCTTTGCATTTTCTACACACCCAGTGTCCTCACAACAGGTTTGCATCCTTTCCCAGAATAAGAGTATGAGGAAAAGTTGACACAAGCCGTTCAATACAGCAGCACGCACACACGCACTCAAACAAATCCTTATCCTCAGCGGGTCCTTCTTATCTTAAAAATTCATTTAGATGAACAGTTTTTTGTTCAGGTATTTGAGTTTTCACCATCATTTATCATTTCAACTTCACACCGGTCTGAGAAACAGTGAAATCATCGTCCTACCTTTTTCTTGTTGGTTGGGCAGATGAAAAAGCTATTCACAATGATGGTTGTCCCGGGCACCAGGTTCAGTTTTGTGTATGTAGTACCATAGTCTGAAGACCTGAGAAGAAAGAACAGTGGTATTAAGATCAGGATGAAGATTAAGAAGTCGTTTGTTTGTCCCACAATAAGGACATTCACGATAGTGTGAAAACAGAATATTTCTTGGTTTCTATTTCTTAATCCCTTCAATATCACAACATCCATATGGAAGTGCATGATGAAAATAACTTAAAGAACCAGAAACAGTGCCTCTCTTATTGTTTGTCAACGTGACTGAACTAAAGTGACTGCAGTTCAAGTCGATCTGTCACTGATGAAGGAAGATATCGTCTGCAAAACCCCCTAGAAGAACACCTACCTGCTTGTTCTGTCAACCCGCCACAGGGCTTTATATCAGCTCTCGGCTCATCATATCACCACTCTGTGCTCTGAGGTGTGAACTTGGCAACAAATCAGCAAATTTCTGGAAAACCTGTCATTACTACAACAACGCAAAAACAGCCCGAGGCTAGCGATGAAATACCAGCCAATCGGCAAAAACTGTCAGATTTAAGAGCAGGCACTGAGTGCTGTTTGTTTTGAGATTGATAGCTTGCTGCTAGATTGGTTTTGTGGTCCAGTTCAGTCTGCGTCTCAGTCAGTGAACAGAGCAAGGGCGAGTTTGTGACAGGTTTTGAGACAAACGATTTTCGTCTCGTACTTAAAATCCGAGCCAGAACAACAAAAAACTAAGAATACCCACGGGAACCATGGAGACAGAAGCTAAGTGCAGCAAATACTTATCACAGGCAGAATAAGCCCACACTACTTAGGTGGAGGTTGAGGGTTCAACAGGAGGGAGCCAAGAAGGGGAGATGTTGATAAGAGCTTGTGACGAAACCGCACGTCACGATCATTAAAGTAGAGAGAGAAGATCTTTGCCCAGTGGGAAATCAGACACTGCCAGACACACAAAATGAGACAGAGAGACACCTGAAGCCCCAGCCCAGTCCTTTCAGCAATCAATTCCCCAAGTGTTCTAATAAAGTTAGAGAAAATGAAGTGGTCTAGCACAGGTGAAGTTTTTCTCTGTGCCCAGCCAGCAAGTGTTTCTCATTTTCTTTGCCGACTGGATGCACCAGTTCACCAGGGATTGGTCAGATCTACCACTACAACTAATGGCTAAACACACACACACACACACACACACACACA